GCCTCCATCCGTGACGGCTTTCGGAGCCACCCCGCCCCGCTGCCTCTCTCGGAGCCCGTCCCTCGGCCCCTGAGTCGCTGAGGGCGTCCCCGGGCCGCAGGTGGCTGTGAAGTGGGCACGGCCCCCCGCACCCCGGCGGGGCGGCTTTCTGGAGAGGTACCCGGGCAGCCCGAGAGGCAGCCAACGCCTTCCTCTGATGACCGGGGCTGTCAGCCTTTCCCGTCGGATTGCCTACTCTGCACTCCCGAGGAAAGTCCCCGGCCCCTGGGGCGGCCCAGCCGGTGTGGGGACGCTGCAGGCGTCGGCTGGCCTCCCTGAGCCGCTGGCAGCTCTGCGACAGCAGGGCTTGCCCTGATGCCCTTGCTGAGAAACGAGTTATTGCTCACCTGTGGGCTTCTGCCGCTTCAAAACGCTGATCGGGGAGGCTGAAGGGGCCAGCTGCCCTCTGACTGCCCTCCCGCACCCCCGCAAGGCCTGCCTCGCAGCTGAAGCTTTGCGAGTCCGATGAGGTGACCCCGCTGAAAGACCTGCGTGTAGAACTCGCTGCTGTGATGCCGAGACACAAGACCTACACTGGATCCCGGTTGCAACTGTCTAATCACGCAGAAAGAGCTTCTTGGGACATTGTGTAAAAAACTAATCTATTTCCTCTCTTCTTCTGGATTGCTTTATTTTTTGTATTTCATTCATGAAACCGGACTAGATAGTTTAATGATTTTCAGAGAATGCTTTGGGACACTGAAAAAACACAGCGCTCTAGTAAAGTAAAGAAAACCCAAATCAGCAATAATCAATTGTAAAAAATAGTGTACTTTTTGATATTTACTTTCTTACATACCTCTTCCATCTTCTTTGCCTGTTTCTTTTCCTTCTTTTTTCACATCCTCTTCACAGGAAAGAACGAATATGATCTTCTGGTAATTGGTGGAGGGTCTGGAGGCCTTGCTTGTGCAAAAGAAGGTTTGTATGTATAAATAACAAAAGTTTTGTTTTAGCTTAAGTGGACACTAAGAGAAGTGTTACTGATAATGCTAAAGCTTTTCAAGGAACACAGTATACCTCAGTCCCTGCACATTAATCATTAACTCAGCTCCATACAGTTAATGTGCAGATTGATTCACACCCTCAGGTGGAGTGATCTTGTTTGGCTTTCCCATTAACCTTTTAAAAAATATTTCTTCTTTTGTCATGGGAAAATCTAATAAGCTTTTATTTCACTGTTATTGTAAAATGCTCTGAGTGCCTCCCTAGATACTGTATTTTTTAAATTATACTGTTTCTTATTTACATATTAAAACAACGGTCCCTTCAGACCATTTCCAAGAACTGTTTAACTGTTGTAGAGAACCTTGCCCCTTTGTAACTCGATGTAACATGCTCAACAACCCACAAGGTTCTTAAACGTTTCATTTGGGATCAAATTGCATGTTTAGGGTCGGTGGAAGCTGGAGGCTCCAGTCTGGTTATTAAGTGCCTTCTGGAGACTCTGCTGACTACCTCGGCAGCCTGGGTCCCTAGTCTGGCATCTGGAGTTAGACAGCATAAACTACTGGCCATCATCTCCTGTACTCTTACTCTGTACCTGTGCTACTAAAAATGTTTAAGTTTGTGTATTTCTGCCTCCTCTAAATATCTTGTCTTGCTTTTTGTTTAAAGCTGCTCAGTTTGGAAGGAAAGTGGCCGTTTTGGATTATGTGGAACCTTCTCCACAAGGTATGGAAGAGCAATACTAGGATAATATTCAGATGTGTATAAAACGGTTGCCTAGGTGAGCAGATTGCTGCCTGCTTCGCTTGTAGGAAAAGTCCTTAAGCTGAGTTTGCTCTAGTGCTCATTCCCTCCAATGATGTCCCAGCTCTGCCTGCTTCCCCTGCACATGAAGGCTGTTAGCAGTGTTTGATGCTACCGTTTGTAGTAGACTTTGGACTTACTTAAATATGTGAGAATATTGTCACTGTCAAAAAGTCATTTACAGTTTCTAAGAATTATGAATCGCATCATGTTGAGGCTCTTCATGTACAATATGTGAAATAAGATCTGCAAAGGCAAATAAGCAAATGTGAACGTGTAGTAATTGGATCTTCAGAACTGTGAGAAACATCTTGGGATGGTTTGAATTTTAGAAGAAAAATATAGAGAGATGGTTTTTATCAAAACAAATTAACATAAGCAGAGTTAGAGAGTGATCTGTAGGAGATAGTAAACTGTGCGTTGTTTCAGAACTTCTTGACTAATTGCATGAACAACCTAATTCTCTAAGTAACCCAACTGCATTAAGTTACGCTAACCCAATATGTTTACTTTTTTCTTTCTTTTTTTTTTTTTTTTTTTCTCCAAGGAACCAAATGGGGACTTGGTGGAACTTGTGTGAATGTTGGCTGCATTCCTAAAAAGCTTATGCATCAAGCAGCCCTTTTAGGGAGCGCCCTTAAAGATGCCCAACACTATGGCTGGAATATAGCCCAACCTGTTCATCATACCTGGTAAAGATCATTGCCCATATCCACTCCTATGTGCTGCAAATGCATAACAACTTTTCCCAGTTGGTGTTTACTTAGGGACAGTTAGGGAAGTGAATTTTGCATGAAGCTTTTTAGACTGCTGCTTGTTTAAAACACAAAACTGTATTTATTAGTTTATCAGGGCAGATATCATGTTGATTTGGACTTGATAATTTGTAACAAAAAGTACTGTACAACATTCCTAATTTCTAGCAATTGCTTGTATCTTTGAGTTGCATAATCTGAATTTGTAATGTGACGACTTCATGTTTGGTTTCTTGTTTTGTGATAGGTCTGTGATGGCACAAGCTGTTCAGAATTATGTGAAATCCTTGAACTGGGGACACAGAGTGCAACTACAAGACAAGTAAATAAAACTTCGAAGTTCATCTTTCTTCCCACAGTCAAGGAGCTCTTCTTCTCCTTGTAGAATTGCCTTTGGAGTTTCTCATTAGAGCTAGTATTTTGAGTTTGTAAGTCCTTTCTGCTCAGGACTGTAAGTGTCCTTGCCAATGTAAGTGATGTTTTTTTTCCCCCCTCGTTCCTTTTCTTCTCTGGGAAATAGCGGTTGGAAGTGACCATACGTGAAAACTTTCTAACAGTGTAGTGATCAGGGAATGCTCGCTTTAATCTGGAGAGGTTTTTCATTAATATGAAGTAGTCAGGGTTTCTCAAGATAATTCCAAGCTTGTCCACCAAAATTTATATGCCATACAAGCCCATAGATAACACTACACTAAAGCAGCTGATTTTTTTGCTTTCAGTGCAGAAATGGTTCCAAGTTTTTCAGCATGCAGTTCCTTTTATAGAGGAATTATATTAATAGATAATTTAGCAGGTACTAGTCTTGTGACTCTGGCTGAGTCACTTTTGTACTCAATGCTCAAATGAGCATTGTATTAGTAATGTTATAGAGAGTAATGCTATGGCTGGGGGAAAATGTATTATTTGAAGAACTCAATAACCTGATCCCAAAGTATGTTACAAGGTTAGGTACTCTGCTGTATAGAGGAATTAACTGTGACACAAGAATTAAGTGACTTAAATTGTGTGACAGAGCTGCAAACAATCCTATGAAATGAGATGCTTTCTTCCTTTTACTTCTCTATGCCTGTTTGCTATGCTTTTTAGCACTTCAGATATGGAAAAAGTAGCTGATTGTATTTCATTCCTATTCTTCATTAAGTGTGCATTAATGTTGCTGTTTTCTTCTAAACAGGAAGGTGAAATACTTCAACCTGAAAGGGAGTTTTTCTGATTCACATACAATCCGTGGTTTAACAAAAGCAGGTAAAGAGGTGAGCTGCTGTGCTGATTTCTGCAGTATCATTCACTTCAAACATTTCAGGTCTTCATGTGTTGGTTTTCAGGTCAACTGGGAGCTAGATCGTACTTTTGCAAATTGCTTTAGGAATTCAGTATTGTTTTCATGAGGGAGATTTGCATTTTCCACCTAGAGAAGATGTTTATGAGCTTGACCGTTGCCTGCTGAGTCCCTAGCCTCTAACCTGTCAGTTAGATGTCATTACTTTTTTCTTTGCAGATGGAAATGCTGAGGCAAAAGGTTTGTTTCTTTTTTTTTTTTTTTTTGGTCAGAGTCGTACTGCTTTGCTAGATGCTTACAGAGATGTAGAGAGGACCAACATCTCCTTACTGCTCTGGGCATTAGATCAGTCTAAGATGTTTTCCTCCTTCAGATCAATTGTAAGGGTGCTTAGCTCTCTAATACAAAATTGTGTGTGGGAGGCAATTACACTGAATGCACAGCTTCAAGCACCTGGGTCATGTAACAGACTGGTGGCCGTTTCTCCATGTTTAACAGGAGACTGAACATGTGTTTTTTAACACCTTTTTGAGGATCATTATATAATTAATATATTATATAATTAATAATATTAATACCAGCTTGAGAGAGCAGAAGTTGTTGGGGGTAGATGCCTAGCATTTTCTAAAAACGTGCCACATTTGAGGTAGCTTAACTCCAGGCCTTAAAGACAGAATCCACGGGCTGTGATCTCTGTGTGTTTTGTCCTAAGCAAAAATTGATTTTAAAAAGCTGCCATTTGTGCACAACTGTTGCTTCCAAGTAGTCATCAGACCCTTGTCCAGTATAGGAACAGTTGTAAGCTTAATATTAAAACAAAAGCTGTTAGAGAATGTGTAGGAGAAACTCCTGCATGTATTAGTTTATTTTATCTCCCTCCTTTTTTTAATGCATTGCTGATTGTTATGTCATATAAGTAGCATATGGTAGTGCCAGCTTTCTCATTTATCACTCATTTGTACATAGATAAAATCTAAAGGCAGGTAAAAGGATTTCAAATGCTTGATTTTGATTTTGTATTTCTGTTTGTAGACTATTGTTACTGCAGAAAATATTGTCATTGCTACTGGAGGAAGACCAAAATATCCTACGCATGTAAGTTACACTTGCCATCTGACGACTCCAATGGCGTTACTGGTTTTGTTGCAGATAATAATGAATGTTTGGATGATAAAGAATGTAAATATAAAGTAACACATGAGAGATTTCTGTACTTGTGTCATGTGAAAAATTCTTTTATAGAAAGCACAGGCTTTTCAGAAAAATATTTCCATAGAAAACAATTTGCATCAATTTAGTATGTTGGTGTTGCTTAGAGCTGTTGGATAATTCAGGTTGGAAGGGATCTCTAGAGGTCATCTAGTTCAACCTCCTGCTCAGGGAGGTTGGGGGTCAGCTATTGAGTCAGCTGTGAGGTCAGATCATGTTGCTCAGGGCTTTTTGCAGTCAGGTTTTGAAAATCTCCAAAGACAGAGACTGGATAATGTATCTGGGCAACCCCAGATATATTCCCCTTGGTCTACTGGCTGTACTTCAGCTAATACAGCCCAAGTTGCTATTAGCTTGCTTTGCTGCCAGGACTTGCATTGTGGATTCAAGATCATCTTACCTGTGTGTTCACAGGTTGCAGGTGCACTCGAGTATGGAATCACAAGTGATGATCTATTCTGGTTAAAAGAATCTCCTGGAAAAACGTAAGTTACCTTACCATGGCTTTAACAGATGCTGGCATTCGTACTTTTTCTTGATGGCAAGGTGAAAAATGTTCCAAATTGCCTTTTATACACCAATTTTTTCTGTCCTTCTGTTTTCCTTCTGAGAATTTGTTTTGTTATGCGTCAACATCACACCACCAACCTTCATTAGTAACTAATAGATTTTTTTTTTTTCCCCTCCCCATCTTATGAAATTCCTTTCTAAAATCAAATTAAATATAGATTTTTACCATCTTAGGTTAAGGTGACTTGTTTGCTGTAGCAATTATACATGGAAGTCACAAGAGGGCAGCATAAACTTAAACGAAGGCTGTAGTGTCCCTATTCTTTGCTATGGGTGTATGTGAAATTGCGCTTCAATTAGGAGCGAAAATCCAACATAATTTTATGTTCTTATAAGTGGTGGCAGTTCTGATAACAAAATAAAATATGATGAGACAATTGGGTTACTTTTGCCTTTTCTTATGCTTTGGGAGCTCTTGTTTAACTGAAATACTACAAAATTGTTTTTAGTGGAGATCCTAAAATGCCATAGTCTTTTTGGGTTTTACAGCACATAGCACAGCAAGATTCTGAGTCAACACTGCACTACAGAACAATTTGCTGATGCGAATAATTGTGATAGGAAATGCACATTTGCTAGCATGAAAGTCAGATAATGCTATTGTTTTCTCTGTTGAGCAATTCTAGAAAAAGCAAAGTATATATAAGAAAAAGAGACTTGAAACTATAAGAGAAGACAGAGCTGCCATTCATGGCTGTGACTTTCTAATATAAAAAATGTACTGTGTTAAACTAGACATCAAATAGATCAACAAGGCTCCTTGGTACAGTTTAAAAAGGGAAGTAAACTGCTGTTGTTTGTAGTGTATCAGTCACCTCTTGAATTTTGAGAGCGTGGTTTATGTGAGGAAGTTGTTTTTTAAAGAACAAAACCAAACCACCAACCCGCCTCCCAAAAACTAAACATAAGATTTATCCCTGTAAGATTTTTCTGTGAAAATGTGGGTTTTGTCCCGTTGCTGCTAATGCAAGTTGTAACAGTGTAATGTGGGAGTCTAGTGTTTATATGTTGCATTCCTGAGATTTAGTCAAAATAAGCCTGCAGGGGCTACAGTAGCATTTCTGTGCTTTATCAGGCTGTGTCCTAGCAAATGAAGGAGGGAGTTGTTAAAGGTTTGTTTCTGTCAGATTTGTTTCTATTATAAATATTCCCAAGGTTCAGTTTAACACCTTTTGTTTTTAGTTTGAGCTGTGTTGTACTTATTCTTTCTTTTCTCCCTCTCCAAACGTACATATCTTAGCTACAAATTACATGCCTGGGGGTTATAGAACTGTCAGTCCTGCAGTTATTGATATTTAAAAAAAAAAAAAAAAGGCAAACCGTTAACCAACTTAAAAGTCCCTTAGATATACAAACCTTGTGAAGAAATTCTCGCTACTGAGATGAAGGGTTTTGGCAGAGTGAATTAGAAAAGATGCCTTGAGATATGTTCAGAACGAGTGAGAGATTGAGCAGGTGTGAAGGAGGTTAGGTTTTGCTTTCTTAACTTTTTTATTAGGCACTGACAATGCCCAGGAACCCTCTAGTTTGTAGAAGAAATTGCAAATAACGTGCTGCTGATACTATGAATGAGTGCCAGCTGGCATCTATTTTTCATCTAATGAAAAAGAAGAGCAAACATATGCCCAAATTACAGATATTCTCATTCTATTCCCTGTGAATCTCCAATAGATACTTTTTTATGGGCAGCATGTGGCTTTTTGCAGCACTTTCCAGGAGCTACACGCTAAAAGAGGGGGTGATCATCCATTCAGAGATGAATCAGATGCCCTAATGCTGGAAAAAATTATTTCCCACTGTGTTAAATTGTTTGTCAAACATAAACCCCAGACTAGCAGATTTTAATCTCTTTACCTCAACCTGTTCTCTGTACACCTTCAGAAGTTGTATGTTTTTATTATAGGATAGATAGATATCTAGGGTCTTTTGTGAGAAAACGTGTGTTGTACTGACTCTGCAATCCCTGGAGCTCACCGAGCAGCAGCCCCCACGTCTGCGCTTTTTGGAAGTTTAAAAGCATCTTTGTTAGAACTGGGAGATGGTGCAGATTGGTTTAGGGTAAGGTATAGGCCACAAGTTAGTGTTTCACCTACTGTTTTGCTCTGCTCTGTTCGCACAGGATGCGCTGTGTGAAGAGCTTTCTGAGCATTGGACTTGTTTCTCTCTTGCAGTGTGGTGCAAGAATAACTTTCCTAGGGCCCTACTCCGTGGCAGGGCCAAAAAGAGAAGCCAAATTTGCAGTCTGCAGAGCTCCATCATGCCTCTAACATTTGTTTTTAGTTGCCGTACATGTTCACATATAAAATATTTTCATTTTCTAAGGTTCTTGATGTCCTTCTGTGAAACACATTTCTGTCTTTGTAAGCGTGTATGCCAGTAGTTTTCCTGGTAACAGGGCGGAGGGAGGATCATTGCTTTGTCAATTCTAGTTGGAATTGATGAATGATAAATCCTCATAAAGAGATTGCAATGCATGCAGCACTTTGTGTTAGCCTTCAGTTTGTGTCTGTTTTTCCATGGACTGGAGGGTTTATGTTTATTTTGTGAAGCACCATACTAGCGTCTACTGCTTCAGCCAGGAATCAGGCAAAATGTAGAATATGAAACAGTGGGGGATGTGTAGGCTACAGGTTGATATTTCAAATATGTTCCTTCTTGTCATCGGACTACTTTGAATTTTTACCTCTTTGGAGCATGTTTTGTCAAAATGGTTTTGCTTTGTTGCTTAGAGTTTTTGAATTAATGGAGGCACAGCTGCTGAGGGAAAAGGTCTTTACGTAATGGATTATTTCCATGCAACTGTTCTCTCTGCTGGCATTGTCGTTTGTGTTGCTAAAACTTATCTTCCTCAAAACAGTCAAACAAGGTTGGATATGGATAAAAGAATATGATAAGGTTCTGTGACTTATGCTTATAATGCTTATGCTTCCTTGCTTATCCTCCTAACTTTAAGTAACCTATTTAAACTCTGTGATTATGTGAGTTTGTATTTTGAATTTTTAAAGTAAATTTCTAAAATTTCTAGCTTTCCAAAATGCAGTTAGCAAACTACTTCTTCTGTACACAAAAATCCAAAGTTACTTTCTTACCTTTTGAATATGGCAGTATGAAAGAGACCTGCTTTAAAAAACGCCCAAAATAAACAGAAAAAATGTGCCAAATATTCAGGTGGGTTCTGAGTGTTGTGGTTTTGTCTTGTTTTTTGATGAAAAGTTCTCTATAAAGCATGGGGATGAAAGTTCTTTATAAAGCATGTCTTCCCATATGTGAAAATCATAGTCAGAAAGAGCCTAACATTCTACACTGTTCTCATAGTAACTAGAAATTTTGATCCCTAGTGATGCTTTTTTTTTCCTAATTCAAAAACTTAACAGAAGACTTTGTTGTAAGTGGAAATACGATGTGGGGTGCATCTCCAAACTGTGTGATTTTAACAATCTGCATAACACGTGAGCAGCAAAGGAACGTGAGCGCAGCCTGTCCAGCAGCTGAGTGTCAGCGACTGGCTGGTTGGACCCGCTTTTACCTCCAGAACAGCGGCTGAGCGTTCTGCCTTTTGTGTACCCAGCAGACGTAGGGAACGGAGGAGATGGCCAGAAGAGAGAGGATGGCTGCAGCGTATAGGGCATCTGGGGACAGGCATGGAAACTGCTGTGCTGGAGAGCTGATACACCTCATAAATTTAAAGTGTTGATGGACAACTTTAGTGCTATTCTTGGTCGAAAGGGTGTGAAATATGAGGAGAGATGGGAGCTGGAGTTTTATTTCAGATCTAAAATGGATGTATTTGGTAAATACTAGTCTAGGTAAATCTATTAAACGGATTTTCTATAACAGCTTATACAGACTTTTAAAGACAGGAAAGGCAAATATTTGGCATTTGGATAAATCAGCTGATGAAAAAGCAGATGGTTATAAATCAAAATGAAATTTAGCAATGAATAAAATCTTATATTGGGAATTGTAATCTGCTTGACAGGAAGATGATGAATTTCAAATGTGCTTAACTTCCGATTATGTTAAGTTTTCTTAAAAATAATAAAAAATATATATTTAGTAATTAAGATACCTCTAGAAATTTTGAGATGTACTTGAGTGCCCACAAGACTGCTGCATGTCTGTACGTTTATATGTTGCCTGCTGTCTCAGAGGCAGCGGTGCCGAGAGGCCCTGTACAGATGAGGCATCAGTACAACAGGCACTGGGGGAAAAACCTGTTGGTGTCTGCTCCAGATGTTTCCAACGGAGGTATGTCACAGAGCACAATTGAAATATTTGTGATGCCTCTTAACCTTGCTGGTTTCTCTGAGTTTTTCATGCCTTTCTTCACTTTGTCTTTCAGAGTATGTGTTTAAATGTCTCTTTACAATATAAAAGCAATTCCTTATGTCTTATAAGCCTGTTCTTTTTTTATTCTGTTAATAAAATAAGTCCACATGTTATAGTGTTGTCTTTGTTGGAGTTGACAAGCCACGCTCTTTCTTCCCATCTAGCAACATCAGATCCACTCCTCAAACCTGTAATTTTGTAACTATACATATTTCGGAAAATAATGTTTTGGTTGTGCAGAAATATGCACAAGCTCGTTCCACTGCTTTATTCTTTTTTTTTCTTTTTATGTAACAGGTTGGTTGTTGGAGCCAGCTGTATCCTTTGAAAAAGCTGTGATGATTTATGATTGTAAGCAGCATAGCTGTCTTTCCTATGAAAGCTGAATTTTCAGAATTCCTTTGCCCATGCCCTGTAGTAGAGTTAGTACTAGAATAGTAATAGTTTTCTATGCAGTAGCATCATGGGAATTAAGGTCAGCTGAGGATAAATTCTCAGGATCTTAAAAACAACGTTATCTACGAGGAAAATATTCTAAGGCTTTGGAGTTTTATTCAATGGAATAAAAGCAAGCTGAAGATGTCTGTGTGAGGAGAACTTGATATCTTTAGGTAAAAAGCCCACTTGTATACTACCCTTTTATATTGCATTTATATGAAATTATTGTTTATATTTCCTTAACTGATGCTTCACAAGATGTTTCACTTGAGTGTGCTGGTTTCCTAACGGGCATTGGGTTGGACACTACAGTCATGATGAGAAGTATCCCACTTCGTGGGTTTGATCAGGTGAGTACGGGCTATCTCCTTATATATCAAATATATTTAAAAGTATATTTGATTATTTTTGTGTCCTAAAGAAAAAGTGTCGTTGGCTTCTCCAAACGTTTCCTAGTATGTGCTTTCTGAAGAGAAACTAAATAAACATTAGCTTTTGTTTTCCTATCGTATCTCTTGATACTGTACTCAGAAAAGTAAATCTTTTTTTTTCCTCCTGCTTAATTGACAAGAAGGTTGAAAAGGTTGGGAAGCAGGGGAGGGATTTATGCCACTGCTAAGAACATTAGACAATCTCATTAAAATAATCCTGAATTTCTAGGAGTTACAGATAATGCTTTTTAAAATAAATTATTGGACTTAACACGAAGTAGTTCAATGTGGAGTTCATTATGATGAATATAAATAAATCACTAAGCTGAAAGTTTGTAATGACATAGGAATTGGAAATCTCGACCTTACCATTTTCAAAACAGTGGTGGTTATAACTAGGTAAAAAACCCCCGGTGATTTCAGTGGAACTATCAATCAACCCTAAGCTGGAGAAAATTAAAAGCAAAAACTTTGAGGCAGGGAAATTTAAAGAGAAAAAAAATGTGTTTCAAAATTGGGAAAGATTTTGAGGAGTTTTATTTAAAAGTATAAGTGGTCACGATTGTGCTGACAAAACAGAAAATAGTTTTGGCCAGAAATCCATTCCTGAATAAAGAGAATAAAAGCAATTAGAAATAACAACGAGAAAAGACAGCAACAAACAAACAAAAAAAAGGTTTTATATAGGATTTGTGCAAAAAGTATAACTGCTTAAAGAAGCAGTAGAAGGTAGTATAGCAGATTTAGGTTAAAGACAAGTTACTGGACCCAGTAAAGGTGTTCCTTGGATGTGAGTTTGTAGCCTCTGTTCTACAGGTTAGATGATCTCTTTGATGGCCTGATAGTCCTTTTGGTCTCTAGATCTGTAGGGAGAGTATGTTAAAGGTGACTGTGAATCTTCAGTCCCTGCAAGATTTGATGCTAACAGTACTTTGAAGGAAAAATTTCTGTAGTGTAAGACAGTGAGAGGGTTCTGGGTGTTCACTCACATGCGCAGTGAACGTTTTCTTTGAAGTTTCCACCAGATTTTTTCTCAGGCAGATAACTTTGGAAAGTGTCAGCCTTAAGAATGAAGACTGTGTCATGTTAATCACTTGAAAATAGTGTTTTCAGAATGGGAATGAATGCACATTAACTTAATTATTCCTGGTATCATGAATTAGGATTTTTTTTAATGCTTAATTGCAATAGTACAAAACATTTACAGGCCAAAGTTGATGAAAGAGTGATAGAACTATGGGCTGGTTTTTAGGAACTTCTTTGCACACACAGTGTGTAGGAAAATTACTTTCATGTGTAACGGCACAGTATTTGAAGAGGGAGTATTGCCGTTAGAAGCAGCAGTGACAAGTACCACTGCAAGTAGTGACAGCTCCTGGTTGCATGCCAGCCACTCCCGCTTTGAAGTGGCTTCCTTAAAACTAGTGGTATGTGTACCCGAGTTTGCAAAACATGGTATAAGAATGTGTCTTGGGATTTGCACTCATCATTGCAGAGATCTACACCTGTAGCAACACGAGATCTGAGCAAGCAGGGAATAGTGCTAAGAGTGTGTGTGTGGCACTTCATAAAGCACTTACAGTAGGGCTTTCTCTGAGAACTTGATCCCCTGTAGGCGGGAAGAGCACAATGAACATTTCAAAGTTAAAGTATTAATAGAGATAAAATAATTACGTTCAGTCTGTAGGCACATTGAGTCTGATGGAAACTGGTTAGTGAGCTATCGTGTTTCTGAAGAGATATAACCTTGCCGTTGCCTTCATATTAGGTAATATCAATTTTGAAAATAGTTTTGTAAGCCAAGAGCTTGCATGTAGTTGTTCTGTGTGAGTGGTTTTGTGATAGTATCCTTTAAGTAATAAACGTATTCTTTGACAAAGTGCAACCAGAATTACTGCAGTCAAGAGCAATGACATCTTTGGATAAACCTGTCAATGTGACGCTTCACTACTTGACTGTGGTGTGGCATTATTTCAAACAGGCTCTTAGGACAAAAGCACTATTTCCTTTTTGTAGTAGAACTTTCCAGGAAACCTTAGTGATTCATAGTCATTGCAGAGAAATGACAGGTGTCACGGCAAAGGGAAATATTTTTCTTCCTTAGCTTTATGAAAGTACTTAATTCTCATCAAGCTGCCAGAAAATGGTAATTATGGTACTGTTAAACTGAATATGCTCTAGATGCTATTTTTGTATAAGCATCAAATGATTTAAAAGCAACCTGTTTATTCATATACTATTTTACTTTTTTGAAAATAATTTGAGTGTTCAGAGGTAGATGCCTCTTGGAATGGAGTTGCAGGTCATAGTGGCTCAATAAATTATCGTGTGTTGACAACGCATAGTAACTAAGTGACAAAGAAAGTTTGAAATGCACAGTGTATTTACTGGATTTTCATGAACACAGCTGAAGGAGCATTTTACATTAAAAAGGTCATATATCTAAGAATAAACAATTTTTTTTTCCCCCTACTCAACAGCAAATGGCATCTTTAGTAACTGAGCACATGGAATCTTACGGCACAAAATTTTTAAAGAGGTGTTTCCCAACCACAGTTGAAAAATTGGAGAACAACAGATTGCAAGTCACCTGGAAAAATACTGACCTGGGCACAGAAGAAACGGATTCCTTTGACACAGTGATGTGGGCAGTAGGTAAACTTGATTATCTTAACATTTATTTGCAATGCAATTCTGAAAATGAAGTCTTCTCATCACGTTGCAAGAGGCCAAACAGCCTCGTCCTTTTTTTTTAATATTAAATATTTAGTGACCTAAACTTGATAGGTTTTTAATTCTTTTCTTGCATGCCTGACTTGTTCGCTTACAGTCTAAAAACACATGAAAGTTACAGTGAATGGAAGAAATCCATGGTAACTACTTTTGCACGGCTTGCAATAAATGGGAGACCATGTAGTCTTCCTCACATTTACTAGAGAGTGAGACCATGAATTCCAGCAACCTCTGTGGTGCAGGTAGTATTCTCTAATTCCGTACTCCTGACTTATTTATGAAGTTATTCGCTACAAGTCCCTATTTATCCTGTTCAAGAGGCTACCGTTTCTTCTAGGAATTTTTCTAAACCGCGCTGCTTAAGTTTGTTACTGCAGCCATCGTCCAATTCAGAGAAAGAGAAGTAATTGTCCCTAAAAATCCGAGCTCATTGCAGGGAACCTTGGAACGTTAGAGCTTTTTGAAATCTGTTTAGGAACTTTCACATATCTCGGACCCCTCAGAACTGAGATATGATGCCTAAGTCAGAGTAAATCAGTTTAAAAGAATTTTGTGACAAATGGCTATGAGCATAATCACAAGAAATGGGAATGAAATCTATTTTTTGCCTTCTTTGAGTCAAATGCTACTTCTTGTAAGGATTAACACACTAAATGATGTATGGTACAAGGCTCCAGGCCGCAGGAATGAACATACTTTCTGCGTTGCCTCCCCAGGCTGCTAGTTTGTTGCTGTTATGAGTTGGCCCTCAGTTGCTATATTGGTTCAGAGGGACTGCATGCCCACCGGAATAGGAGACCTCTTGTCTTCTGTGCTTATAAAGTTTTGTGAATATCTGGAATGCTAGATAAATAATGGATGGCTAAAGGTAGTAGTGATATTTGGCAAGCAGGTGATATCTGGCGAACAAAGTAAATAGGCTTAAACTTACTGCCCAAGAAATCTGTTTTGATGCAGAGGAACGATCAGTTTTACTAGCAGCTTTAGCAATTCCTTTTACTACTTCATTTTTATGCTATTCTTTTTATCTGACACTACTGTTTTAGCGTAGTGGGGAAGCATTACTCTTTCATTTGTTAATAACAGATAAAGTTCTTGTGGTCGTAGAATAGATCCATTACAGGAAACAGGAACAGATCATTTACAGCATTTTGTATTTTGCCCAGTGGATTAAATCTGTTGTCCTGTTGTTCCTTTCCCCTGGTTAAGTCAGCTTTATATCTTCCTAATAACCCAAAACAGAGAGCAGGTTGTGTGCTGTGACAAACATTTTCTTTTGCTTACTGTGATTACTGTTCTCTTAGAAATGTAATGGGCTTCTATAAATTGGGGAAACAGCCTATAATAATGGATTGTGCTCACCAGAACCAATCAAAGACACTAGTCCTTGCCAAGAGCAAAAAAGGGTCATGCTATCTGGAGGTGTGACGATGCTGAAAACTGCAGAATAATATTCATGAGGTGAGATGAAAATGTTTCCAAAAAGTGGGTTTCTAAATGCTGTATTTAATTTTTCTCAAGCTTCCTGGTAAAAGTACACTGAGGAACAGTCACACCTGTGAAATGTCATGTCAATTTGTTTACTTTTGTCAAAGATGGAAAAAAGAGCTATTAAATCGAAATAATATGAAAAAAATCTTGGTTTAGTGTTAATTACAGTGGAATAAGGTTGCATGATACACCATTGCAGCTCAGTTGTAATGTGACTCCATTCACTATTTCATACAGAGGAACAACATGTATTCTAATTTTTGTCACAGATTCGAGTTACAATCCATATTTAGAAACTGCAAAACGAACAGTTTGAGGCTTTGGGGTTTTTTGTGTTGACTTTTTTCCGTGTTCGAGTTGGCGGTCCACCCTTAAGGATTAAACACATCAATAGTTAAAGCTGGTTAATTGATGTGCAGTTGGCATGATTCATTGTTTTGCTCTGTATCAACACACCCACACCAGGTGTCTCAGATAATAGTCTGGGAAACTTGGTAGTGTTGAGGATTTCCTGTCTGCAGATGTGCCAGTTACAATACTGACTGAAGAAAGTCAGCTTGTAGAGTTAGTTAAAAAGCAGCCGCTACTGTTAACTAATTGTAGCCTGAATTATAGTAAATATTTCCTTGATTTTTGTAAGCACGTCGTGGAATTTTGGTAGGATTTTATGAATAATCTTAAAAGTATTTACTGACAGTGGGACATAGTTTGAGTTTGGTAAGCTGGAGTATTATCTCTTAATGTAAGCCCTTTGAAAAAAAAATTACATTGTGTTTCTATGAAGAGTTTTGTTTATCTTTGGGAATGTGTAATTTTCTGCTTGTATGGATAAGCTAATAAAAGCAGGCACAATGCTCTCTGCTTTTCTAGCAGCTTTTTTGAACCAGTCAAAATATTTGAGGCAAAACAAAATCTCGTTTTGATACTTTTTAATGTAATTTAAAGGTTTCAGTCCACAGCTTTTGTAGGTAGCTGTTATGGGCCTGTGCTACCTTGCTGAGTGACTATGCTGTTATATTCCAGATCAGTGAAACAGCTCTTTCTTGGCCTTTATTTGACTCTACCTGTCTAGTCCTGCGATGTTCTTCTGTCTTTTAGTAGTACTCTGTCTTCTGCTTTTGTGAGAATTCTCCTGAAATGATAAGCTTTTGAGGTTGTGTGTGGTTTGTTTTTTTTTTCTTTCAATATGGAACCAGTACACTTTTAATATTCTATAGTATTCCCCCTGCCCCTAAGGACACAAAAAAATTTATATGTTAGGTGCCTAATACACCTGAGCTACAAAGCAATGGTAAGTGTGTGCATGTACAGATTGAATACAGGGTCTTCATCCAAAGAAAAGGGTAGAGGTTGACACCTTTATAAACAGAGGCAACTGCTGAGCTGCAGGGCAATGTTGCAGGAGATCAGGCTTTGTAGAGTGGGTTTGGTTCAGCTATTGCAGGACTGAAACCTGTGGATTGAGTGCTGCAGCTGCAACACAGATTATACATAAAAGGAATTGGTGAGTAGTATTTCCATTTGAATTTGCAATAGATGGCAAAAGATCACTGCTGTAACTGGAACTGGATTATTCACAAAGTCCTTAAAAAAGATACTGAGTTACTACATATCTAATGGGGTCTTACTGTGTAGAGGAGCAACACTGAATCCATGCTTAAACTAAGCAGGTGTTTACAAAATATCCTGGAATGAGTTTGACAGAGAAAGTGAGGTAGTGTGCTGGGAAATTGTTAACAGAGAGAGCAAGGACCAGCAGCAGATTTTAAGTTCAGCTTTACAGAAAGAGTTTTCTCCCTGATGAGAGCAGTGGAGCAACCACTCTCAAGTTCCTTTGCATTCATAGGCTTAGAGGAAAGCCACTGTGTCTTTGAAATAATATAATCTTTGCTATAAAAAGGAAATATAACTTTAGCTCATTGTAAAGCTGAACAGGTATCAGGTGTTGCACATCATGTGCTATCAAGCACATTGTCCTTTGTGTCAGACTGGATGCTTGGCAGATTTATTTTGTAGTGCAGTAAAATGAGATCCTTGCTGTTCAATATCAACAAAGGGTTAAGTACGTAACTTCTTTTTAATAGTAGTTTTCTTCAAGTCTTACAACCAAATCAGTTTGGACTAACTAAGAAAACAGAAATTTTATTTGGAGATTTTCCTTGAAAAGTCCCATATGGTAAAATATTGCTGTGATCTACTGTGAGCATATCTCTGCCAGCCCCTATAGAAAAGGGGATGGGCTTTAGATTCATCTTTGCAAACAAAATCTTGCCATCCAGTTTTTAGCCTTTGAACTATTGGGTAGGACCAAAGCAACATGTCTGCAGATGCAGGTGACTTCAGATGTACAGGGGATGGTGATGGCCAGGTGTTTACTGCTTGCACCATGGCTGCCACAAGCTCTCTGCTGAGATGACTCCTCTGTGTAATGAGTATTACTGGTCAATGCTACACGGAATAGTACAGCCTAGCTGACTTGGCAAAGAACCAGTTACTGCCTTAGCACCGACTAAGGGGCAGATTTTTTTTTCAAACTGTGGTAGGCATGCTGAAAGTTTATCAGTAATGAATGAAATGTTCAAAAACATCCTTGTAAAACTGGTGTATGCTGCTATCAATGTGGTAAGGGTTCTGAACTTTTTTTTTTACCTTAGTTAATCTTACTGTAGTCAATATTTTCTTGTCATCTGAACATGGGTACACTGAACTGGTCTTCATTAGTCATTATCAGCTGGCTATGTTTTAGTGAACACCTTGTGGGTTTTGAGGGGGGATTTGAAGGAGGAAAAGGTAGTGGTCTTGAAACTAATTTGGGGGGTATGTCAGGTACCCAGAACAAGATGAGAGAGAGTGCCAAGACCGGGAACACAAATGAGAATTTTATTAAGGTCAAACTGCGGTCGGATTGGGTAAAGTTTTGAAGTGATGTGTCAAAATGCCAATGTATAGGGAAGAAGTGCAGAAGACTATTGGGCTTAAGTTTTATGCCTGAAGAACCATCCTATCACTCTGCAGTATCCTCACAGTGGCCATCTGCAGTATCATGCCTGATAATAAAATGCTCGGTTGGCTCTAGTTTGGATTTTTCAAATGCTGGGGGGCAAACAGACATTCCAGCTTCTGTGATTAAGAAACTGCAGAAGACCCATTATAAAATTCTGCTGTCAGCCGCACCTTTATCACCCTGGGAAATCTTACTGTATGCAAGAGTGTGCTGTCACTCATTTACTTGACTATGCCTATGGTTTCTTCTCAGTTTAGCTGCTTCAGTCTCCTCTGTTGAAGGTTCTGCCCCTGGAGGTCACAGCAGCCTGATATTGCCTTCGCCTTACTCTGTGTGCAGGTGTGGTTACCAGAGCCCCTCAGCAGATGATGGGACAGAAATGCCACATCACAATATAACGCCTAGCACGTGTCCGAGCTGGGTGCTTTAACCAGTCTCTTGCCACTCTGTAGCTAAGCTGGCTGGCAGCCTCCTTAGGAAGCCGTGCTGTTAGATTTTACAAAAACAGATCAAAAAGCTGTTTTTTTCTTTTAAAGTTAAGAGCAAATGGGGGCAGGCCCTGAGAGCAGGGATCTGTGTGGTTTTCACAGCTATGTGGTTATTGTATGAGTCTATTAAAGGTGAGATTATGATGTGGTATTAAAAGCGTGGGAGACAGGTAACCTTCTTAAGGTCAGATTTGAATTGGCACCTTTCTTCTAGATGTCTGGCATAATATCTTGCTGTTTTGAATAAAAGCGAAATCTAGTCTTGTGTCATACAATCATACACTCCTTGTTCTGTGGCAGTTTCAGGGCAGTGGATGTCTTCAAACTAAAACCGTATGTGCTGGCTTTAGGGGGAGGTGAGCGGGGGGTGCCACCACTGTGTTGCATGCCTGGTAGGATTTGGTATAGTTTTGTATTGCCCTCTGGACCTTGGAAATAAGCTGTAAACTCATGCTTTCTTGAAGCTTTAAATGTAAAAAACGTAGGGGTTATGGGTATGAAACAAATGTCCTTCTGATCCAATACTACTGAGAAGTGGTGAGAACTGATTCTATAATACAAGTGAATGTTGGGAAATATCAGAATTTCCTGAATTTGACATAAAACTTACCAAGACACGTTGGATAATCGTTAACCTAAGCTACTGAATTTGAGGTGAAGCAAGATCACGAAGTGTAATTCTGGCTTATGGAGGTGAGCCAGCATGGGGCTAAAGGCTAATAAAGCTTCAGTTCGTTTTTTTTTAAAGTTTGCCTTCAGAAATAACATTTAGGCAGTAAAGTTGAGAGACAAATTTCATTATGAGTAGCAACACATTTTTTGTAACTCCTAGCTATTAATACCAATCTGTACACATGTTAAAATAGACTGGAATCAAAAGGTTAAGTGTTATCCTGCAGATTTGATAAACTCAGCTGTTGTTGTCACAGGTCTTTAAATGACTCTATTGACAGTTTTTCTTTTTTTCCTCTTTCAGTGCCTGCCATTGCGTGCTAAGCTTTCTCTTGGCTCTGCCTGGCAGGAAAAAGGGGAAACTAGAAAACCCCATTAGTTGTCCATTTGCAGAATATCCAGGCTTTACTCTCAATACACAAAGAAATACAACGGTAGGAAGTTGTTTCACATCCGAGCCAAGATAAGGTCCTGGAGGTTTATTATTTTTGTTGCCTGATAGCATCAGGACTGGGGAGCAGGGGGCAGAGAAGGAACAGCAGATCAACATCCCATGGGGACAACAGAAGGGAAGACAGACAGATAGCCAAGTGCCGACAGCTTCAGTCAGTACTCCCAGAGGAAGTGTTGGTTTCACCAGATGAAATTAATACACAGAAGTCTTTACAGAGGCATTCAGATGTGACATTGTTTGGGGGCCTGGCTATATGGCAGATGTATAAAGCAGTGAATCATATGTTTACATATAATTAGGTCTGTATTGACAAGCCAGGCTTTCCTTTTGTTTAATAATTTCCTACGTTAACATCAAAGAGCTTGTTTTTATAATGAAAACACATTTCCCTTTTTGTTCTGCTTTGCTATAGCTCTGTATTAACATCAAATGCAAAATCATGACTCACGCAAAGGAGACCTATAGATGTAGATGTAGATATATCCAATTTCTTTTATAGCCTCTAAAAACGGATGCAATGTTATAAAATGTCCTTCATTTGGATATATTCAGGTAATCTTTTCTATGTCATCCTGTGTCTCCCTACAAATTCTGGGAGTACCTGATAATTTCACTGTGCTTATTAACCTTCAAATACATTTGAAAAATTGGATAGGATTTAAGATTCCAATTTCTGGGTCAGGAATTGCTTTGTTAGATACTCTATAGAGAGCTCAGTGTAATGTTATCAAGACTTTGGTGGTCTAAGTGGTAACTGTATGCAGAAAACACTAGGAAAATATTTTTTTAAAGATGAGATAATTTAAAATCGTTGGAAAAGGAAGCTGTAATAAAATCTAGGCTTGGTAGAATTTGCCTCATTTGTTTTTAAATCTATTAAAATAGTGTTTCTAAACTCTACAGAAATAGCTCAAATACAGAGTTTGAGCTAAATAACTCAGCATTAAGGACTTGAGAGCAAAGTTGGTAAACTCTTTCATCCAAACTGAGGGAACTAAAAAAGCTTTAAGATAACAAGAAAAGAGGACTTCAGGAACATTTAATGTTGAACAGCATTATCAATAATTTTTATCCACAAGTGTGCACAACAGGCTGTTTGTTAGTATTGAGCGCCATTCGGTTAATGTTTATTGGAAATTTTCAGTGTAGAAGTTGCTTAGTTATTATATGTGTATCCGTGCTACATTAGGAAACTGAATTTAGAATGTGTGATAAATGTTAAACCATGTGGTTTTTGCACTTTTTGCAGTGGATGTTGTCCTGCACATTTTTAAAGGATGACTTTCTCTGGAATAGTCTGAGCAAAGGCAATAGTGATAGAGCTCCTTTCACAAAGAAATTCATATCCATACTTTCCACCCTTACAGCTTTTTCAGTTTTGTGATGTTTCTATGTGGGCTATCAAATAGCACAAAGTTCTTGGAAACCTACAGTGAAGGATGCCAGCTTTTTAGATTAACACTGCTGAAGTTTTCCCGATAGTGTTTACTTTAATGTCTTTTTTTTTTTTCCTTAAGGCCGAGCCCCTGACACTGAAACTCTCAATTTGGAGACAGTTGGAGTGAAAACTAATTCTGAAACTGGAAAGATCATTGTGGATGCCAGTGAAGCTACTTCTGTTCCTCACATTTATGCAGTTGGAGACATAACAGAGGTACTGAGTCTACATAAACTGTTTTACAATAACAGGAAGCCAACTTTGTTCCTGACTAATAACTAGTCCCCAGATGTCGTCATGCTCTAGCCTATATCTTAGTGTTTTGCTCTTTTTCATTTTGCAGAGCTGTAGTGTTTATGCCAGCCACCTGGGTCAGTAATTTCCTTCACGTGGATATTGTGAAGTATCTCAGCATTAGAGATTATTACTGATGTTTATCAGGGAATGCATCATTGGTCAGAGCCTAATAATAATGTCTTTATCACTTCAATTATCTTTCTAATAATGTTTTTATCACTTCAGACATATGACTTCATACTGCCTTTGAATGCTGAGTGAAAGCAGTTCTTACTTTCTGGAACTGAATGCACTTACTGGGAATGACCGTGACAAGTTCTGTAACTCCATTTTTAGTATTTTGAGGTTTAATTCAGACTAGTCACAAGATAGCATTTCTGCTCCCTGACACAAAATGCTTCTGACAAAAGTATCTTCCTCTCAAATGAGAAAAACTAATTGCTGCAAATACTAAATGCATTTGGCTTCTGTTCATGATTTGTGAATGATTATGCCAAGTGAACATGAGCTGGGTTTTGTTTGTTTTTTTTAAAGGAGGGGACATTATAATTAGCCAAAATAATTTACTTATTATAGATGCAAAACCAGAATTGTGTGGCCTTAATCTAGTGCTATTGATTATCTACAGTTATCCATGACAAGAATATCTTGTCCTGATCAAAGTGCACTCAGATACTTTCAGTCCCTCAATATTCAGTTTACAGAAGAACTCAGCATATCTACTGTAAATTGAGCATCTTCAAATATGTTGTCTTCATAAAAAGTAATGTTTGTCTGGACGCTGAACTGTGCAGTTACAGGAGGATGTTTTCATCAGCTGCCTGCTGTTCCTAAAAAGTTTGGGCAATATGTAGAATATAGAGGCTGGGCATTGCAAGATACCGAATTCTCTCACCTGTTGTTGAACTTAATGGAATTGAGCACATGCCTTCCTATCAAGAGTGGTTTCAATATAGTGAAGGCATCTGTTTTAAAAGTCTGGTAAATCTAAACACTGTAGTAATATCCAACCACCATATATAGTATAATTTGAGAGACCTTTAAAAGATTTCTCATTCTGCCGTGTTTAAAATCTTCTAAAGGTCTCTCAAATTTAGAAACCCTACAGGTGCTCTGAGTTTTTTTGAAGAGATGTAGCAGGTTGCATAGTGTCTTGGGAATAGCCCTGCAAATTTCTGACTGGACTCTGGAACTGCCAGAGACACTTAGATCTCATAAATCTGCTGGCCATTCCTGACCTCCTCCCCTCTATGCAGACATGTGTTTCTTCCTGTCTGTCTCCCTCTTCATGTGAATGACTTGCCATTTCCTTTTAAACTGTGTTAAAACTCTTTCCTGCTCAGCTATTTCTCCTTTTTTTCCTTATTCTCCACAGCTTCTCTGTCCTGTCCAGTCACTCAGAGCTTTGGGATTATGTACAGTTCTGCTCCTTTCTTCTCACTTCACATACAGGTTCCCTCCGTACTCGTCACTTCTTGCTCTGGGATAGTTCCTGAAGTCCTCTTTCTGCTCACAATGACCTCCTACGCCTGCTGGTCCCTGATATATGCCTTGGTTGGGCCTCCTGCTTTCCAAACTTTTCTTTTTAATTTCATCCAAGAAGCAGTTGTTAGAGGCAATGCTGGCAGGGCCTTAGATTCTGTTGCTTATTTTGCTGCCAATCTGCAGTGTTAGTCTGGGCAAGTCATTTCCTTTTGGGTGCTTTTTGTCTTCTGCCTTTTGAGGATTTAGTTAAGTAAGAAATATAAAGTTGGAGGCAGGATGCTCTCCTCTTTCCTACTCTGGATCTAAAAAATCATATCTTCATTTATTGGTCATTTTCATTTTGTTGTTCAAACTTGGGTTTCCTTTTCCTGTTTTTGTCCTTATTAGTGCAGGTTTTTGAACGTGAATTGTTCAATAGGCACTTCTAAATGTAAGTATTGGAAACAGCAACACCGTTTTAGACTGTGTCCAGTGTACAACTGGAGAAAAACTGAAGAGTTAAATCAGTGCTCTGTAGAAATATTCTCTTAAGCATTTATTTGCATATGGGCTCAATATAGGGAATTAAAGAAATCACAGTATAGTACTCATGCATTTATAGAGTTTAAAGATAGAAGGAATTATTGCCACTATCTTATCTGACTCCAGTACAATATGAGCCATGTAATTCCACTTGCTAAGCAATAAAGTTTATTTTATTTGAATACTTAAATTAATTTTTTTCTAAAGCAGAATTAATTTAGATAATAAATTTCATTGGCATGGGAACCAGCAGTGAAAGAAAGTTCTGTGTTGGTGCACATCTCAAAGAATGCACATGGAAGAATTGGCGTGTGATACTTGCTGGGTGAGACCCACCAAAAGAGCACAGGACGGGGAATCTTGTTTCCTGTGAATGAGCAGCAATGATCCCTAATATTGCTTATAAGAGTAAGATTTTTTTCTCCAGTGTTCCTGCTCAGGATTTCTCTTTGCTCTGCTCTCTCTGTGTCAGAGCCTCTTTGCTACCATAAAGTGCTATTGCTCATTCCTTTGCAAGCAGTTCTCAAGCCCTCCTGCTCCCTCCTTTACCATGCCACTCTGAATAGACGCTAAATTGCTACCAAATAGCAAGAACGACTTTTTTTGTTTTAATTCAGTGCCCTGGCTGGAAGGGGAGTGAGAGAGGGGAAAGGCGAGTTTCCTGATACGCTCAGAATGACTGTTTTCATTTGGGAGTCGCACCCAGCTGGCAGAAATGGGAAACTATGTGTGCATGGGTGTCTTGTTGCACCCTTGTATGGCAAACGGAATCCTAATGTTATCCAAGCTGTTCATGTGGAGAAAAGGGGAACAAACCCTTCCAGAGGTCAGTCAGTTTGTCTACCCTCAAAAAAAGTTTTTCAAGCTTTGGCAAAATATTATTTTCAACTGGCAGGTGAAATTGCATTTACGTGTTTTCATCTTCTGTAATCAGGATGAGGAAGATCAAGCTGGAATTTTAGTTTGAATTTTTTTTTCAGTGCTGATATAAACTCTCTGTGTTAAAATTCTTCCTCCAGTTTTTCTTGTTGAAAAGCGTGGCACACGCTGTAAAGAAGTTCTCTCAGAAGGAGGTTTATCATATGGTCGTGCCGCTATGCATCTGTCATATTTCAAAGGGTGTTATAACAAAGATGTGTAGAGAAGGTGGAATGTACAGTATGCTGCTTTGAATAGAAATAAGACCAAAAAAGAGTTGTGTTAGAACAAATACACATTACTTCAAAGCTTTTCGAACTCTCTTAGGAGCCATCTCGTTTAAATGCATAATACATTGGAGGATTCTTATGAACTATTCGTATCCATAATAATCAGCAGAGTAGTTCTACACATGACTGCAAAGTGAATGTTCATTTCAAATATTTACCAAGGAAGGTCTTTAAGTCATTGTTTATGAGAAATTGGGCTTTATCTGCATGGATGTTTTAGTAATTAGTTGGGTTTTATGGAATGCATGGCAGTGCTTTCACAATTTTATCTCTCGTTCCAATCTTCTATTCATTTCTGGAATGCCAAAACAACATCTGTATTTCCTGCTACAGAAATGATTGGCAGCCATGTTTCAGGCACATGTGTATAAGAAAAAACAAATGGCAAATTTCATCTGGTAAATGACATTTACAGACTTGAAAGTCAAAATGCTGGATTTGAAAAACCATGACTTGATGGATCTTAGGGGGCAAAAAAGGGATAGACTTGCAGTTTTGTGATTTGTCATGAGCTGTGGGGAAAAATAGGTTAGTCTTCATTAACAATTAGAATTGTAGTTTCTGTTATCAGGTTAGACATAATGTTGTTTCAGATCGGTTTTTTGCAATGGAAGTTTTAACTTAAGTGGTTATTAGTACAGATAAAAGCATAAATTTATATTAATATGCAGATAATTGATATGGTATGTGTACTCAAGGAAATGATAGCTAATACCACGTACAGAATCTATCTAGCAACATACAGAAAAGATAAGCTGGGAAAGAGGAATGGATTCCAGTAAATGCTAAAAAACTTCAGGATAATGAAAAACAAGTTTGAAAAACTTGAATGTGTGTGGTGGGGAGTCCTTATTTTATTTTCTTCTGAAGATTGATTGTGAGGGCTTATTGGGTGACCACCTCCAAGTGGGGCTTTGCAGGAGTGTGACAAGTGGTGTACCTAGGTAGGACCTGTATGAATCAAAACTTCACATGTTTTATGAAGCGGTCCGTGTTGTCCCACAGAGGTGTTTTTCAGTTACAGCTTTCTTGTGTCTGCACATCATTCCTTCTAGATTTGTGACCTCTTTCCGCATCTCAGACAAGCATCTTGATGATATATGTCTTGGATGAACTCTTAAATAATGTTTTTTACTAGATTTATGAAGTTTGTTAGATCTTATTAACTTACATGGACTGTTCTTCCTCAGGCTTCAAAAAATTCCTTTGAAAATGCCTTACTTCAATTTGCAAAAACTTCCAGCTTCCTTAAAACTAGCTCTGATGCTCCAGTGGTATTGTGCTGGCACTCAAAATTAGGGTTCTGGCACACTGCATAGTCCTGTTTTGGATATAAAAAGTAGCCAGGACTCATGGCTTGAACTGGAGCATGTCCTGGTCATATCCCGCTCTCATCCCATTTCTCACTTGCAGGAAGTTAGCGTTTGCCAAGAGCAACCCTTCTCAAGTCCCTCTCTAATACCAGAGCCTGAGACTAGGACCAACTCAACCTATAGGTTGCAGTGCTAGCAAAATAATGTTCTGCTTCTCTGATCCAGGACCAACATAGGAAGTCAGTAATAGTGCCTACGAGTAGCTAAGTTTTGTGCCCGTGTTCTGTAAAAATGTGACAGACAACTTTTTTTAAAATGTCTGTTATAAAAACACTGTTGCTTTCTACTAGGCTTTTCCTGCTTTAAAAAGACCATCTGAAAAATTTCTTGATGACTTACTATGGAAAGAAAGGGGGAAGTGAATGGTTAGCATGTGAATATCTTCTGCTTTTCAAGAGGTGACATGATAAGATATAAGGTTTTGACACATTCATGGCATTTGTCCCCCCCAGTTAAGACAGATATTAAACTCGGAGACTTAAAAGCATGTTTGGACATAAATTATTGCTGCCTTCTCTATTTGGAGCCCTGGCTACTAGGCTGGAATTCCAAAGATTTGGCTTTCCTCTGACCATTGTCCCAGGAGAAATGCTTGGATGCTACTTCTCTCTGAGTTAAAACAAAGCCTTGTGCTCTCTTCTTAGGGGCGTCCTGAATTAACACCCACAGCAATAGCTGCAGGAAAACTGCTGGCTCAGCGTCTTTTTGGCCAGTCTTCAGAACTGATGGACTATGACAACGTGAGTTGTTATTTCTTTTTTCAGTAATAAAAACCAAATCTTACACTTTTTTTTTCTTAAGAATTTTTAAAGGAATTGCATTTTGTCTGGAATCCAGCTTTCACAGTAGCCAAAGTAGATGTGTGTGACACAGCTACGCTTCTCAGTCCTGCAAAAGTCTCCTCTGTACCTGCCATGCAGCTGCTTCATATGATTCAACAGTAACACTTTCTGTTTCCTTGCAAGCAGGTACCTACTACAGTTTTCACTCCCTTGGAATATGGTTGTGTTGGACTGTCAGAAGAAGCGGCTGTGCAATGTTATGGGTCAGATAATATTGAGGTATGAAAACATTTTTACTTTTGTAGTTTTTGTCAGAGTTGCACTATGAAAAGACAGAAGCTTTACTGTTGTATCAGGCAAAATTTTTGGTCCCCAAAATACTATGTTTGCAGTTAGGGAGCTGGTGTCTTCAGAAGAGCTCAGGACTTTAAAAGTATTGCAGCAGGTCACAATGAAAACTGTTACCTAGTGGGCTTAAAATTATTGATAGGATGTGACAGCTTTAAACTAGCTGCCATTTTAGTGGGTTATATTCTGCAGCATCATTAAATAACTGTTATGTTCCTTTTAATTGTCAGAATAGCTAGTCAGGTTCTTTAGTCTAAATTTTTGGGATGTCCCCAGAAATATTCGCACAAGCTGCTAAGTGTCTTTGTGGCTAAAGTGTCGTGATACAATATGCCTGGGCATGGCATATTGAGGAAGAAATCTGTTATGGCATATATGCACACCGAACCCTCTGATATGAGGAATGAGGTTAAGGTACTCATGATGAAGAAATTCACAATCACTATATAATAAGACAAAATTCAAACAAGACACCCTTGAAAAGATATGTTGTGTTACCTTTATTCACTCATCAAAAAGACTGTCAGCATATGACTCGGTAAGCTATGAAAACACAAAATCCAACACAAAATCCACTTACTTCATGTCCAGTCATTAGTTTTGTCTTCTATGATTCTGAAATATAGTTTATACTTCAAAAATCTGTCCTAGAACTCTTATCTGGGCTTCTGGATGCCATCTAGAATCATATAAATTTCTGTAAAACAATTGTTCTCATCTGATTAAGGCAGACAGTTGATGTGTGTGTGTCATAAGATGCTGACGTTGTGTATGTATTGGAGAGCAAGTTCAGCTGATGGATTTAGCTTGGAGCCCCAGGCAAAATCATTAATGAAAAAATAAGCATTTACTATTCCGGATGCAAAAATTACAGTTTGGGTTGTCTTGCGGTATACATTATTATATATATGGAAAGCTTCTTGGATTTCATTATTCTCAGTAAACAAGGTATTAAACTTTTGGGAGAAGCTTAAAGGAACAAAAGTAACATTTTTAATTTGGGGCACTGGTTTGAGTAACATTATTTGTGATTTTTTTTTTTCAGTTTTGTTTTTAATCTAATGGTTCTCTAAGAAAGGTTTATGTTAAACTCTTACTGTGCTTTCCATATTTTTTTTTTTTTTAAATGAACAGGTTATAAATAAATCATTTTTTTCTACAACATTAGAAATATGCAGTAATAGTAGTCATTATAATACTAAATAGCAGTTTTTGACATAATAGTACTCACTAACACAAAATGTTACTGTTTTCCCTACCAGGTATACCATGCGTATTATAAACCTTTAGAGTTTACAGTGGCTGAAAGAGATGCAAGTCAATGCTATATGAAAGTGAGTCTTGTGAGCTTTTAACTTACTTTTAACTTAAAACAAGAGATACGGTACAGCCAGCTTTAAGGAGGACTGTTGGGCAAAAAAACCCTCTCAAGATGGATGAGAGATTTTCTTGGTGACAGCCTGTTTCTCTAGTGTAACTTCAAATGCTTAATATTCATTACATATCCCATTGCATCTTGAAATTGCTTTACAGATATTAGTATTTTTCAGAGCTGGCATTCTGCTGATTGATACCATCTTTGAACTGCTCTGAAGGTCCTAAGAAATATTCCAAATTCTATAGAGATTAATCTCTGCTTCCCCCAGCAAAGTTCTTAACTAGTTGCCATCTCTTGAGGAAAGTATGCTACCTTCAAAAAAAATTAAACATAAAACTTACAAACCAGAGTAACTGTTCAGTCTTACTCGTGAAAACAAAAACTTCCTGGTTTAGACCAAAGTGTTGGACTTGAAATGTGTCTTTTCCTAGAGCAATCCAGTTGCTTCAGTGTTGAAAAGGTTTTTGATGCACTTGCCCATAGCAGAGAATCTTAGATAAGGTGAAGTGTAGTGTTGGTAGAATGTATCACAGTTTTCTTTTTTTCTTTTCTCCTCGTATCAGGGAACAATCTTTTTTGAATAAATGTAGTAACTTCTGTAGGTCCATCACAAATTATAATGTTGTTATTGTTGTGTAACACATCAGATGTAAGGAATATCCATTGTCAGTAGTTGCAACCAGTTTTTCTAACAATATTTTGGCACATCTGATTTGTGTAAGTGCCTTAGTAGCTTGCCTTAACTGTCCCCAGTGCAACTAAGGGGATGCTACTTCTTTTTAGCTATTCCCTTTGAATTCTGTCAATGAAAGTAAATATTTGAGGGTGAAGTAGTAATAGCATAATAGTTGTTGGATGATACTGAATATAGTCCTTACTAAACTCCCAAAACACATGAACAAACATTAAACTTGAGAGTTTCAAACTCTATTGCAAGAGGGTTTTTTCTTTAAAACTCCTCAATATTTACAGGACCACATCAGGATTGCTGCTGTTCCTGGGCTTCCCAATGAAAGAATCCAAGCCTTTACTGCATAGCAGAACCCAGGGGAAGTTTAGGTTGGATATTAGGAAAAACTTCTTCACTGAAAGGGCTGTCAGGCCCTGGCCCAGGCTGCCCAGGGCAGGGGTTGAGTCCCCGTCCCTGGAGGGATTTAAAAGCTGGGTGGATGTGGTGCTTGAGGGCATGGTTTAGTGGTGGCCTTGGCAGTGCTGGGTTAATGGTTGGACTCGATGATCTTAAGGGTCTTTTCCAACCTTAATGAGTCTATGATTCTATTAGATTAGTGTCGATTTAATACTTGATAGGCGGACACAGGGAGAGACTGACTTTCTTTTCATAATTATAAGGATGGTGTCCCTAAAGGAACTAAAAAGTTTTCATTAAGTTCTCTAATAAAAGTTAAGTGTGCAGTGACTCAGGCCCTCCCAGATACTTATGAACTCACCTTCATCTTTGCCTGCTTCCAAGGCTTCACTCCTTTTTAGGTTATGTGGCTGATGTGGTAAATGTATCTCACTAAACATGCTGCTCTAAGTGTTTACTGACTGAATCACAAAGGCACAAAATGTCCTATAATTGGTAGCGGTCATCTTTGGAAATACAGCTGATTAGCTGCTGAGAATAACTGCACAGGCTTGGAGAATTGCTAAGGTGGCCATTCAGTGTCAAAATAACACCAGTCTGATTACTAGACTACAGAAGGTATTTTGAGGATTTCATACAAAGGACAAAGTATTCATTCAGTTTACCACAAATCATCATTGTCAGTGGCTCCCTGAAGTCTAAAAGAAATGCACTAATAAAGCTTCGATTCAGGAAAGTGCTTAAGGACAAGCATAAAACCTATTGAAGTCCGTAAGACTTAAGCAAGTGCGTAAGTTCTTGGCACACTGGGAATAAACAGCTGAACTAGGATCTCGGGGCACTTCAGTTTCATTCAATTCAACTTCATGCCTTATCTTTAAATGTTCTAAGAAAAGATCTCTATGTAATGTATTGTTTTCAGATGGTGTGCTTACGAGAGAGAGAGCAACGAATACTTGGCCTTCATTTCATTGGACCAAATGCAGGCGAAGTTATTCAAGGATTTGCTCTTGGAATCAAGTAAGTACAAAAGAATGTCTCTAGCTTCTAAAGCCTGCTTTTTAAGTTATTGTAAGATTATGAAAGATAGCTGCCTAGTTTTGGCAACGCTATAAAGAATCCGTGCTTTTTGTTACTTTTATGTAGTATTGCACATATTTTCACTAAAAATACTGCAGTTCTTCATTAAGATGTACTGGATTTAGTTACTGTAATACTGGATATAGTTAAGGAGCAACTGAGGAAAATATATTGTTGGCTCGATATAGCTAAAGCAAAAAATAAAATTGTGCATTAACTTACTCATGTTAGTTTTCTCAGAGTGTACCTTCTTTGGCATTCTATGCACAGGATAGGAAATCACCATATAGTTTTGCAAGTCACTTCTTTAAAAGGATATTTGTGCTTTTCATAAAAACCCTTCTTTACACTTGCCAAGCATTTCCTTTTCTAATCTCATCTTTAAACGTGCACAGCCATTGCTCTTCAAAAGCTCAGCAAGGACTTGCATGAATTTTTATATTTCTGGGGTATAAGATAACCATAATATGATAAGGTAAGAAACAAACCCTTTCTTACAGGATGAGGGGAGGTAGTTTTGTCTGGAGCTATCTGATAATTGCAGTAACAAACTTGCCCAAGTAGGTGAACCGTTGTGATCTGATCTTGTTTAAGATTTTGCTCAAATATTAATATAGAAGTTCTCCCTTTGAAGGAGTAAGGAATGATTCTGGATCCTCTCTGGTTAAATGGAGAATTCCTGCTATGCCTCTTGTGTGCTACAATTGTTTCTTGGTTTTTTCATTTCCCTTCTTACTGCTGATTCACATCTTCAGAAATGTTGATTCATATATTTACATTAATAAATTATAGTTTTTAACTCCTCTTTGAAGAAAGGCTGGGACACAAGAAATCACCCCCAATCATGGTATTAGTTCATTTTCCTAAATATCATCACCATTTTATTGCAGTTTTAGTCTTACAGTTGTGAGTGACTAGCATAAATGAAAAGCAGAAAGGATTAAGAAGGCAGGACTGTAAGTATCATGTGAGGAATATCTTGGAAATCACTGATTGCAGTGTTCCCTCAGTACACATTTTCAACATGTGTTTGTAGTCCATTAATTGCCAGTGGTATAGATTCTAGAACTACATTTTTTAGGATGTCATTGTTTTGAAGTTTTATCCAAAATAACCAGTGAAAAGGAAGCACATGAAACTGGAGTGCTTTTCTGCCTTGCCTGAGGGAAATTAAAACTTTAGCCACAGTAAGAGGTTTTCAGCAGGTCAGATTCTTCTATTGGTTTCTGTTGTATTTCACAAATCCAGAGCTTTCAGTGTGGAACACCCACTGTAAGAGCTGCTGTTCTCCTTTGTCAAATATTAAGTCTTACTTCAGCCTCTGCAAAGGATGATTTTCCCTGTTCCCTCCCCACTTAGCACTCCAGTAACATCTGTGCCCAGCAATGACTTTTTTGCTTGTCGGTGTTTTATTGGATGTAGGTGGGGACACCAGAAGACATCTATGGCTCTCTTCCCATAGAGAGCCACATTCTCTCCTCTATTTTGTAGAGGGAGAGAACATTATTCCATAGAGAGCTTGAAACAATTCTTAAATTTAGGGCCATTTCAGCTATTCTTACAGCATGACCTGCCAGAAGTAGCAGGTCAAAGGAAAGTCATTAAGTCCGAGAATGTTATTGGACAAGTGAAGGAATTAAGCAAGTGGGATTTTAGCTCAAGGGTGTTTTGGTGGTTGTTTGTTTTGTTTTGTTTTTTCAAATGAGAGACTTTTTCCTTCTGCTTATAACATCGATAATTTCAGCGTAAGCACCAGACTTTTGCTAAGACCATGGAAGAATATTCTGGATTACTTCCTTCAGCAGATTCTTGCCAGCAGTCCTAATGAAGATTTTCTTCCTCTGTGTGTATGTGTGTGTTTTTCCATCTGGAGTCAGAGTTAGTGACACACACATGTATGTGCAAGAAAAGCTGAAGGCTGCAGTTTTGTCATATGTTTTTGCCATAGGCTCAGTTGTGACTTGGGGTAAATTGCTTAATTCTCTCTGTCTCAACTCTTATGACAATTCTTCCCTACCTAACAGTGTTGTGAAGCTGGGTGTTTAAATGTTGTTGTGTAAGTGCCTGAGAAATAATAGACAGCGTTGTTCAAAGAATGAATGCAACTCCTTTACCCAATAAAATGGACAAGAGCAGAATTACTTTGATGTTTTAGGACATTCTAGTTGCTTCAAGTGAATAGTGTTTGACTGTGGGTCTTTTTTTTTTTTATTTTGGGTAGATGTGGTGCTACGTATCCTCAACTAATGAAGACAATTGGCATTCACCCTACTTGTGCTGAAGAAATTACCAAGTTGCACATTACAAAGCGTTCTGGCTTGGATGCAACAGTCACAGGCTGCTGAGGTTAAAGACCATCCCTGGAAAGAAGGAAAAAAAGCACAAAATACATTTGTAAAGAAAAGGGGCACTTAGAGTTGAAACAGCTTTAATGGTTTGAGTTCCGGGAATCTTTCTCGTTTTCCCTGTAGACAGCTTTTTCTCACAGCCAGCCAAAGAAATTGTCCTCGCACCATCACAGTTCTAAAACCAATGCAGTCCTGCTGTAACAAATATCTCTTTCAAAATGCCTATAATTCTTCTCTTGCTGGGGGCTAGGGAATAATCACAGTTTTATAGATGTAACTATAACCAAAGCCAGTGACATCCGAGGCCATCTACAAATTAAACAGTTGTCATTAGAGTTTCTCTGTTGGCATGACTGACTGCCAACAGAAGTGTCTCATAATGTTCATACGGATGCTAAGAATCGGACAGAGCCTCCCTTAGAACTTTGGTGATGATACTTTCTCCTGAGTACTTGGATAGCTCATTACTGATCCTAATCTTGAACGCTGAGACTCTCTACTAACTAGTAGAAACAAGTTCCCAGAGTGTTTAGCAATGGGTAAGCAGTCATCTTTGTTTTTTTTTCTTTAAAATGTAATATGTACAGGAATTTAATAGAAAATCACTTATCACTGAAGCTGTGCTGCTACTGGATGAATCCCAATGGATTAATCAGCGGCAGCCTGGTCATAATGTTACGGTGAAGGCTGAGAATGAATGAGCTCAGAGGTGCTAAAGAAAGAGTTGAATTTTATGGTGACTTCTCTGCCTACTCTTGAAATTTCTGTTTCAGTTCAGTTCAAATTAAATGGACACATCTCACAAATTACTGCTTGAACGCCATATATTAAGCAGCGCTGACAAGTAGAATCAAAACCAGTAACACTCCAACTCATGCAGCATTTTCTGTTTTATAGAATGTGGATATCTGGCTGACATGGTGATATATTTTGTTGGTTTGTTTTTAAGACTTTCTTACTGATGAGCTGAATACTACATCTGAATGGATTTAGGTCTGGCTTTAATAAAACATATTACTGAAGGGAACTGTATTAAACAGTGATCTAGAAAAGAAATGGTCCTGCTCAGAACAAAGATAGAAAATAATTATCTGCAAACTTTTTTTTTTTGAGTATTGACCCGAGTAAGAAAGCATTAATCTGTTGCAAATTCCTGCTTATTTTCCTGCTCTCCAGAAGGGGGAGATGCTGGCTAATTTCTGGCAGAAAAGAAACAGAAATCTGATAGTGACGCTTCTTTTGCAGAGCCCTGTTAAATAGGTAGCCTGACAAAGGCATACACAAAACAAACTGCACTGCATTTCAGTCAAGCTGCAGTTGCCAGCATTTTGATATGTGTAGTCACATAGTTTCTTGCACCCTTTACAGTAGAATAGCGCATGTGGGAAAAGAAGAGATCAGCTTGAGGTGAAACAAAATGTATCCTTTTTGCAGTTAATTTATAGCAATGTTTTTGTGTGTGGAATTTGGTATTTTCATAGCTGTCCTTCTGCTTGTTGCACAGTTTGGAAGAATAGTCTGATGATCACGTATATCTTTGCTATTTTTTCTTTGACTGCTATTTCACTGCTGCAGCATGCAACACCGACAAATGCTTGGTTTATTCCAAGTGTGAAATCCTTTTTACCATGCGAATTGTACCTGTCAGAGAAACTATTAGCCAAACAGTGATCAGACCTTCCTTCTAAAATACGACGTAATAGCATTTATCACACTCTCATCGATACTAGAATATTCCATTTTCAAAGATTTGTTCTGACTTAAAAAACAACAAAAGAAATCTTAAATGCTTTTTTTACAAAGTTTCCTGATTTTTGGTCTGTATTTCTGGTCCATAAAAGAGGAAGGAGCGATACAGTTTGACTGCAAGTGGCATTCCCTATCAGATCTGCTGATGCCATTTTTCATCTATGAAGTCATCCATAAGCTTGTAGTTGAAAAGAAATACTTTGAGTGGAAGTATAGTTCAAACACTGCCTGAATGTTGCAACTGCCTTTAGAAGAAAGCATGAAAACTTTATATCTGTATATAAATATGTGCATACCTGCACATTCAGGAGTTCCTGTTTCCTTTAATAAAGGTCTTATGAGTATGATACAGCCAAAAACCCTACTAGATTTTCCCAGCTGTTTAAAAAAAAAAAAAATTCCTAGTAAATTAGGGTTTTTTTTTTAATGTTTTACTTAATATTTCAAAACATTGAGATACTGAGCATCTCAGTCTACAGAGATTTTGCTGTGAGAAACATCCCCCCTTTGACTAAACCGTAATGTGTATGCATGCAAGATTTTTTTTTTTCCTAGTGATAACCTGTTACAGTTCCTTTTGTACCCATGAATGATAACATGGGTGTTCAGCCATGTGAAAGTTGCTTCTCTTCTCTGTCCTACCAGTGCATCCAGCAGACTGAGTTGTCTGCCCCTACAGACAAATCAATGTTCATTTCATTCATCATAAAGTTCCAAATAATGATTTGGGACAACAAGTAAAGAGACCTCAAGGAAACGTGTCCTCAGTGTATATGGGGTGTGAAACTAAGGCATGTCGTCGTTCTCAGAAGTAAGAGAACTCTCTTGGTTTTAGAATTGCTGAGTGGACTGCATGAAAATTGATCCTGTCTCTTGAACAGCAGCCTAGTTCTGTTCCTCATTGGGTGGAAAATATTGTTGCCCCCCCGAAGTAAAGCTAAACGTACATTTACACCTACATAACCCTAATGTCAGAAGCAACAGCAAGACAGAATAATGACAACTACTGTGACTGTGCTTTTTTTTCC